TACTACAAAGTCGCCAGTTCTCATCTTCCAGCTCCCCAGAGACTCCGCGTGCTCAAGTTGTACTACAAAGTCGCCAGTTCTCAGCTTCCAGCTCCACAGATTGCTCCGCGTACTGAAGTAGCACTAGAAAGTCGCCAGTGCCTGCATTTCGCGCACTCGACACGCACGATCTCCGCAGAGGGTTGCGCGCACACCGGACAAATCGCACTCTCACCTGCGTTTCGTGCACTCGACACGCACGATCTCCGCAGAGGGTTGCGCGGGCACCCGGCGAATCGCACTCTCGCCTGCATTTCGCGCGCTCGACGCGCACGATCTCCGCAGAGGGTTGCGCGGGCAGCCGGCGCGCGGCACTCTCGCCTGCATTTCGCGCACTCGACGCGCACGATCTCCGCAGAGGGTTGCGCGGGCACCCGGCAAATCGCACTCTCGCCTGCGTTTCGCACACTCGACACGCACGATCTCCGCAGAGGGTTGCGCGGGCGCCCGGCGAATCGCACTCTCGCCTGCATTTCGCGCACTCGACACGCACGATCTCCGCAGAGGGTTGCGCGCGGACCGGACAAATCGCACTCTCGCCCACTCGACGCGCGCGATCTCCGCAGAGGGTTGCGCGGGCAGCCGGCAAATCGCACTCTCGCCTGCATTTCGCGCACTCGACGCGCACGATCTCCGCAGAGGGTTGCACTTTCGGTTGACACTGTTCGTCCCACCCTCCGCCTTTAAGAGAGAATTTATAAAGTGGGGAAATGTTTTTTCATTAGGACATCTCCCGTGCTAGTTTTCCATACTCACACTTGCCTACTCATTGCACGCTTGCATACTCATTGCATGCTTGCATACTCATCACTTGCATACTTACACTTGCATACTTCCACTTGCATACTTTGACACTTGCATTGCATACTTTGCACTTCACTGCTTTCGCTCTTCCACTTACACAGGGCTACGTATAGCGTTCATGTTATCCTGCAAGTGTGGTGAAAGTGTCAATGTCTAAGTGTGTCTAAGTGTAAGTGTCCAAGTGTCAGTGTTCAAAGGATTTTCCGGAAGAACCCTTCGCAATGCTTTCGGGAAAAAGAAAAAGAAAAAGAGAGACAAAACAAAACCAAGCTTCAGCTGACTGTCATTCAAAAGAACACTGCGCCGCAGCGCTGCGGCCACGTCGAGAGAAAAAAGACAGCCCGCTTGCTATTCAGTTTACTTTCTACAACTTCCTGACTGTATTCAAATTGCTGACTTTACCACCAAGCATGGAATGGCGTACAACGACTTTTTCTAGATGCGCCGGTTTCGGCTTTTTGTGTGTGTCAACTCCTGTTTCCAAGGACACTACTCTAGCTATTCCTACTACTTCAGCTCGTCAATCAGCAGTTATGTACAGAAAATCAGCAGGGGGTGCAAGCAGCCCATCCAGTCTTGCACCAACGAAGACACTGGATGTGTGCTGGTGACACTGGTGATATCGATTTGGGACGCCAAATCGACGTACCTGCCAGGAGAGAAACCTACGTAGAGCTCAAGCTGTCTACTTCGTTGTTTCCTCCAGTAAAGGGCTACTGCAGTGATTATATTTTTTCCGCATTTTAAGTATCCACCTAAAGGGCTAATGCACTCCGCGAAGAAGCCTGAAATCGTGCTCTGCGGAGCAACCTTCCCAAGTGTGTGTGCCCCTTGTAGTCACAGGGATTCCGTTGAATTGTTTCTCTTTACTTCAGCAGGGGGCCACCGGGGCCCCAGAGGAGCGGTGGCCAACGAAGACCTCCTCTGGGGCCCGTGTAAACGTACCTGCCAAACTGGTTACCTGTTGTTCTCGCTGTGGTTTGCTTTCATGGTGGTTCATGTGGTTCTGTTACTAATCGCTACTCGCGTTTCGTGTTTTGAGTCTTGCTGGGCGTACTTGCGAATTTTAATCCTTTGGTAAAGTGCTAATGCATCTGCAGATGTGAGCGTACGTCGTCATATCGCCCTGATCGCCGCCTTCGGCCTTGAGACTTGGGCCCCACTTCCTCTTGAAGACCCCGAGGCCCCAGTGGTTCTTACTTGTATTCTTAGGAATTGGTACCCTGGCCGGCGTGTGGCACCGCTGTCAAGTCCGTACGCATATCCATAAGTGTGTCTCTCCCAGTGAGAGTCCGGATGAGCCCGTAGAGTGCCTCCCCGTGGATCCGTCGAAGCCTAGGCCGAAAGAACTCAGACTTTTGTCTCATCTTTGGAATTCCAAGCTGGCTCATGCCTTTACGTGACCGCAGCGGTCAGAGGTGGCCGCCCTCGGGCATGCCGTACGTGGTCGCAGCGACCGAAGTTTGTTCAAGGTTCATTGGAACCTTTCGAGAGCTTAGTCTCCCCTCCTCCCCCTTCCCTCCCCCTTTCTTTCTTTGCTTTTTGGGGTTTTCCTGAATGGAATACTCAGGATCACCCCTTTCCTTCTTTGGTGTGTCCCTGGACGATTGTTCGTAGCTGGGAACACCTGCCTTTTTCTTTTCTCTCCTCTCCCTTTCTCTCCCTCTTTCTTTCTTTCTTTCTTTCTTTCTTCACCTTCCTTCCTCCTTGGGTGT